TTTATATCAGAAGCAATCAATGAAATCTGTAAGATACATGCTTTGTATACCATTCATGACAAATATCATAATTCTCACAGTGAGTAACAAAGTAGCCCATGAAATTCTTACACTTCATGATTTTTATTACAATCATGACATATGAATTTACGATTATTTTCTGAACTAACGGTGATCTGATATATGAATTTAAGTCAAATAAAGTCAACAAACAACTACAAAATTTGCATCAATGCATATTGTATCCGATTGAGACAATACTTTTGTGGCTTCTTGAGTTTGTCATCAAAGGGTTCCCTCTGCATCTTCTCTACTTCCGGACCTTTCAAATTTCCAGACCTCTGTTCCGGAGACCGGACAATATATCGCACCATATAAACAAAAACTTGCAAAAATCACAAATAGGTGTTAATGGTTCATTCAGAGATAAAAAGGAAGTCCACGTAGTCAATCAATCCCACGCTGACAGACAGCGGGAGGGAAAATGTCCTCTAAGTTTGATTGGATCTGTTCACAGCGATATCCAATCGAAATTAAAATAAAGGGTGTGATTACAATTTAGACCCGAATGATAACTTTCAGAATTCATACGATAAACTTTACATTTCACCTGAAAGAATTGCAGATAAATAGGGTATACTCCAGTGATAATTTGGCGGCAAAACTTAAAGGTAAATTCTAAGGAAAGATAAAGATCCGAAAGGGTCAGTAAGTTGTTTGCTTGATTTTTGTAAAGTATTACGGCATCATAATTGTAATTTATTTATAGGATATATAGTTCATTACTAGGATCGTTAGCATATAGAATTAATTTGCAGTGTTTCATTTACATGCGTATTTGAGAAATAGGCTTGACCGTACGAAGAAGCATTAGATGCGAGGCAGAATTATGTAGACTGTTATCTTGTGGACAGAATTAATTTTGTAATTCACAATTAGGTTACTTCGTAGTAAATTAGTACATTTATTAATGCGTTTTGCTTGACTTGTTAATTTGGAATGATTGAAATATGTAAAATTAGCTACTATGGACGTATGAATATATCAGAGCATGGACATTTGAATATCTGCGTACTTTGTATGATTTGTAAGGTGAAGAAATGTGTCTGATTATTGTGATTATTATGATGTTGTTTAGTATAACTGGATTATGAATATTTATTGATGTATGTATAAGAAGTAATTGATACCGTGCTATATTATGACGTTGTTTTACCATTCTAGAACGTATGGTATATCGATGTGAACGAATGTGTGACCGAAGAATTTAATAGCCATTATCTGATGATAGGTTGTGCGTAGTGTGAGATGAGAGGGCTAAGGAAAAAGAATGTACCCTCTTAATGTTCAAGTGACACAGAACTTCCGGTTCTATTGGGTCCCGAGTCTTCAAGAGTTGGAGACGGAATTGAGGCTGTAGTCGAGACAGAAGAATAGTCGTTGCAGAAAAATGGAAGGGAGGAGAATTAGTCCATAGAAGGTGGAAGAGGAGAAGGAGTTTAGAGAAATTTAGAGAAAAATTGAAGAGGAAGGAGATAAAGAAGTGAGAGAAAAAAGAGATCGAAGAGATACAACAGATGAGTAGAAATATAAGGACTGGCGGAAATCTATCTCGCACTGCTCTTCAAGTGATGCAATAGGCTTGTCAAAGAGTCGAGCGGAAGGAGTGTAATTGGAAATTTGAGTCGATTGATTATTAAATTGCTAGTAAATTGTTATTCATTCAATTTCAAACTTGTATATTTTACCATCATCTAACCGTCGGCATTGCTGAATGGTGGATTGGGGCTTTACATCTTCCTTTCACTAAATTTAAGTTCCAACACGATAAAGCCTTGGTGGTAATTATAAATACTTTAAATGAAACATTAGAAGCACCCCACCCCAACCATAACAATCACCGCAGAATGCGTTGGGTCATTTGGCAATAACTTCAAACATTGATATTACAGTTTGTTATTTTCATGCTCCATTCCCATTCGTTTCTCATACTTGTGATCGAATGTTCCTTCCCAATTCCAGACCTTAGCCTATAGAACGCTACTTTCTGTTTTGAAAGCAACTGTCGTTTAAGAATATAGGCTTCTTTTTTCAATCATGTAATTAGTTAATTAATTAACGTGAAGATTACAGGCACTGCATTCACCGACGAATTTCATGACTATTAAAAGAGTGGGGAAAAGTATTTTCTTGTTTTAAAATTATTCTTCTGTATAATTCTCTTATGTAAACTGTACAGTTTATTGTACGATCAGCATCTCGGCCTCTCCTATGGTAGAATATGTTGTACTGCTTTTATTTACCATATAAATACGGCGATGTTTATAAATTCATATCCAAGAAAATATTTCTTACATTTATCCTTAGGAACAACAAGTCTCATCAAGTAGAAGGCGTTATAATCTCAGTTTGAAACCTTTGAAACCAATCTATATTAGCATTTCAAATCTGTCATGAAAGTATGCTAATAACAAAGTTTTCTAAGATTCCAATAATCCCGACGCTATCTCAGTGGTATATGTTTGAATTTTCAGATATAGTTCTTCACCGTTTTCAAAATCAAAATTCGTTTTAAAGGTATAATAAGTTTTAAATTCTCCTTGGCATAAAATATTGATAATAGTCATCAAGCAAAATTTGTTGCTTTCGATGGTATTTCCGTCTGGTTCGATGTGTTTAGTACTGTGCATACAATACAAAAAATAGTCCTAGAAACAAGGGTCGGTCTTTTCTTTGGTATATCCTTCTTGTCCTATTAATTTATTTTACTTTGTGTTGGTGATATGACAGAGGAAATAAACGCTTAAATCTGTTGCAGAAGCAAGAAGTTATAAGAAACGTTTATATGCTATCCGTTTAACAAATCATTATACAAATAGTTGACAATACCTTATTTCTCTTTCATTATTTAATTTGGAATAGAAAAATAATGTTCGAGTCACAAGTATCGGGTTTCTATTCCTTAGATTTGTTATCTTATTTTAATGTTTAAGAGATCTTTGTCAACTTTCCAGTCTCGTGGTGGAAAATTCCTAGGACATATGTAAGCTTATTTTATAAATAAATTTTGATTATAAAACATATCAATCAATGATTTAACAGAATCAATCAAAGATTTAACAGAAACTAATATTTTGAGATATTTTTAAAAAATAGTACCTCTTATTGATGATAATTCTTACATTAGAGATGGATACATAAATTATATGAGTTGAAAATGTCAAGCGAACCATTCCGTTTCAAAATTAGCAAACACTCATCTACATTATGGCAGGACTGGTTTGCCATACGACAGGTAGGTGCATTATTAAAAAGGGGACACCGCCAATACCTTGTTGGTAGTTGCCCATCCAGAACTAGTTATTCCCTTTAGTGTTTTTCGTATCAGTAACTTGTACGACTACATCTCGCCACAATCGGAATCGTCAATATCGCATTATATACTTTGCTGAAACATTTTTCTGCTATTGATGAAACTCAAACGTAAACAAAAGACTTAGAAAAAGACACAGAACACCAAAAAACAGTATTTATGCGCACCTTGTTCTGCCCAGCGAACTGTTAATTTAGTTGCGTGTTCTACATCAGCTTAAAAAATAATTATCGTTTGGGTCTACTTAAAATTTATATTTAGAGTCATATTGCGCAATGATTTTGTTTCCATGTTGATAAATACTTGCATAAATGTAATTATATTGTTGCCATTTTTATTAACAGCTAATGAAAACATACTTATGCCCTGACAGTTGCACCTCGTAGTTGAATGGTCCCCAGCTATGACATGTGTCATACAGTTGTGTCTTCTATCGCTTGCGTAACGTCGTATTAAAATATTTACAGGGAGAAAATTGAAAAGCAGCTATTGTGTGACACTTCATTGACTCAGCGGAAATAATACTTTTTCATCATCTTGGATCATTGGCTTTGATGCTTTTAGTTTCCTACCAAAATATTCAAGTGCATTTGTTCTCGAATCTAGTATTTTGACATACTTTTAAACCGTTGGTATCTGATATATATATATATATATATATATATATATATATATATATATATATATATATATATATATATATATATATATATATATATATATATATATATATATACCTTAGTCTCAGTATACTTTTCTATGCTACGTTTTATAGACCCTGGAGAGTACTAGTCATACTCTTAACCAGTCTAGTTGCGCAAAGATATAAATATTATCTTAAACTGCTATTTCAATGATAAGAAAGGTATTTTCAATTGCTGCGTCTGCCTCATTTGTTGTTGCAATTGCGAATGTGACGTTTATTCCTTAGTTTGTTTGCGAGTTTCGTTTCTGACTCAAACAACTCGTCCTCATCGTTGATGTTATCATCTATACTTTCAAATTAAAGAACACCTGCCCTAGTTCATCCACAAACAAAGCTAATGATCCAAAAAGCGTCTATGCACTAGTGTACATGGTTTGTGTACAAATTAGTTAGTAATACACTATACTATATTTAAACCAAAGTGTTAAGAACATGCGTGCGATATGAAGGTGTCCAATATTGTCAAATACTGCACGATGCTGAAATGTTAAGTTAACGGAGACAGAAATGAGCATATCATAATGTGGATTTAAACCCATATCTGATCAGGATTATTTCGCTATTTGTAATTATGACTCACAATGAACTCAATTATATTACGCCAGATTTGTATTTGACTTTACTTTTGAACGAATCTAACTTTGAATATGGGAATATCAATACAGCCTTTGAGGTAATGTGATTTATGTGACTTAAATTTTTAACGTAGCTTTAACAATTTTTCAGTCATATCGCTACAATGTCTAGAGTCTGAAAGTTTATAGTGATGTCTAGCACTGGGGCATCATGCCGCAGACATGTGGCATGATGTATCACCCAGTCACATTATCCTGACACCATGCCGACCAGTCTTAAAACTAACCTCTTAATGCTGAGCGTTAAGCAAGGCAGATGTTAGTACCATTTTTAAATTCATTGGTATGACTCGGCCAGTGTTCGAAACCACGACCTCCCGCATCCGAGGCGAAAGCTCTAACCACTAGGCCACCGAAACCATAATAATTAACGAAATTATTGACCTGAGCGTGCTGTCATGCAGACTGTTTACATATGATTGTTCAAAAACACAATTACAGCTGAATTCGTTAATTTATCGAGAAGAAGAGTTATTTCTTGAAATACTGACAAAGATGATGTTATACAAGTAAATACTATTCTAATCTGCTTGAAAGTTAAATACTGAAGCAGAATAAAGAATCCTAATTTCATGTATTACATTTCTAACCTGACATAGGCTTTTGTGACCAGAAAAAGAACGGTTTAGAATATAATATATTTGGCTTAGGATATACAGTATAAATGTTTTAAGATCGTGTCAACAACAAAGCAACCGGAAGTTTTCACTCATGAAACAAATAAATTACGCTAAGATCTGTGCGAGAAATAAATACCGTACAACATGCTATCCTTTCGATTTAGATTTCCTGAAATAGTAAAATAACATACAAAAACGCATATAAGATTAAGACAATGGATTAGTGTAAAGTATTTAATGTTGAAGAACAAAGCCTTTGACAACAGTTACAGTGAAGTGACATGATCTTATTCCATAACATACCGCTCGACGTAAAAAAAAAAATAGATTGCCTTTATACATGCAAACAGGTGTGTATTTAAGATCAACTAGTGGTTCACTAATTATTGAGCATTCGATTAAGGTAGAGATAAACGTCTTTGATCTTTTGTGGACTATATAATAAACAAGTACGCCATTAAATATTGATATGATTATATTAAAAAGAATTTTTACGTGAAGATGTATGTTATCCTTTAGATTAGGGGTCTCAAACCCAAACCAATCTGATGACCGTATGAGGGCATTTTCGATGGCCCCAGGGCCTCACCATCATTATTATCTCTCATGAAACTTTCGAGCAGTGTAAATTAAAACTTTAGTCCGCTCTACTTCGAGCGCCGGTCTCAGATGCGGGAGGTCACATATTCGAACCATGGCCGAGACATACCAAAGACTTTTAAAATTGGTACAAGCAACTTGGTATCAAATGGTTAGTGTTAGGATTGGTCGGCCTGGTGTCAGGATAATGCGACTGGATGGAACATGATGCTACATGCCTGCGGTATGATGTCCTATTGCAAGACATCACTATAAACTGCAACACTGCTGACATAGTAGCAATATCACTGAAACATTGTTACGGTTACATTAAAAATCGAATTATCAACCACACAGTCTAAAAATTATGAGAAAGTTTGCGCATGCGAGATAGTCATGTGAGATATGCCTTCTGCACAATACTTCCTTAGTTTGACCGTGTCCTCCAGTGTAGAACACCTATGAGAAATATGTCTTTCATCACGTGACGGGCGTCTTTCTTCCATTGATTATGATAGATCACATTGCACTCACACGAGCAAATCTCACTAACTTGCACCATCACTCGAGCATTCTTTCACAATAATGCATACAATTTCTACGTTCATATTTTGAAGGTACAACATATACCGTTCGTCAGGTGTATCAAGATTGTTGACCACTGGCCGATTTCTATACAGGTACCGATCTAACATCAGTTTTCAAGTCAAAGATACTATTGTTACAAGTGTATTATATCTTCTTAGATAAACAAATATCTCACAAATATATCTATGCCGAGAACATGTATAAGAACAATCCCAAATCTGTCCATGCAAAAATCATATCATGCATTCGAAATGTTAGGACATTTTGCGAGTTTTACAAGAAGAATGAGACTCAAGGATAACATTTGTATCTGATACTTTTTAGAGGTCAAATAATACAAAACAAATACAACGCATCACAATGCAATGCAATGCAATGCAATACAATACAATACAATACAATACAATACAATACAATACAATACAATACAATACAATACAATACAATACAATACAATACAATACAATGCACTACAATACAATACAATACAATACAATACAATACAATACAATACAATACAATACAATACAATACAATACAATACAATGCAATGCAATGCAATGCAATGCAATGCAATGCAATGCAATACAATACAATACAATACAATACAATACAATACAATACAATACAATACAATACAATACAATACAATACAATACAATAGTTGAAATTCCATAGACGTAAGGTTGCAACTAAAAGGTGCTAATGTTCTACACCCTTGTGAAAATTCTGCCTGTAAACATTTTATTCAGTGGAGTAAAATATTTTCATTTCACACATACAGAATCACATCACAAGATACAATTTTTGTCGGCAAAAAAGAGAACATCTGATGAGAGAGAGAGAGAGAGAGAGAGAGAGAGAGAGAGAGAGAGAGAGAGAGAGAGAGAGAGAGAGAGAGAGAGAGAGAGAGAGAGAGAGATCATCCTACATAAAACTAATCACATCGCTGAAATAGAAAGAAAAAAACAACAACTATCGAACACAATGTTCTATAACAATTGGATAGAACTCCATATGAAAGTACAATGAAATTATGTGCCATGTCAAAGGTTTGAGTATTCTATGGCATATACATATCATAAAAGTTGTTGTCGGAAGCAAAATAATGAGTTTAGAGTGGATATGTCCTATCTCTAAGTTCTGTTGGACTGGTGGTGGTGGTGTTTTATTTTTTAAATATATTTTATAGGTCTACCCTAAATTTGTACTATCATGGGTTTAAATAACTTACAAACGCACCATAAATTCGCAACAAATATACTTTTACAAAAATGGCAAATTATAATATTGCTAAACATTTGTTAATATATTAATTAATGTAATAGATATTGCCTATTATATCATGTTTACAACAGAGGCGGATAAAAATATAATATTTCGTCGAGCATATATCAGCTAATTTTTTTATAATTACTAAACGTAGGAATAAAGTATAATACAAAATTTAATTTGTAATACCATATCAAGATGTGTTTTGGAAAGTCAGGGCGCCAGTCATCACTTAATTTGGAATTACCCATCCAGGGTAAAGGATTTCCTTAGGGTTTTCTTGAATTTTTACCTTTAAGAGTTTACCCCCATCCGATTCATTCAGAGTACATTGTATTGCTTTATTTTTGTTCTGTCCTTTTTTGGGAGGGAGAGGGGTGTTTCTGATGTGCCTGTTAGGACTTTAGGTGTACAATAAAAGGTTTTAAAACTATATATCGAATCGAAGTAATGGAACGTTGATATACAGCCAACTTCAGTCTAAAGATCAGAACAAATGCCATGCAAATTTTTTTTTAAAAAAATGGGGGTAGAAGGGGGTCAAGAATATAGTGGTCAGTTTTACGGATGTTGGCTAAAACATATTCAGAGGTGAAATCCGGCAAGTGTGTGTGTGTGTGTGCGCGCGCGCGCGCGCGCGTGTGTGTGTGTGTGAGAAAGAGAGTTTATGATCACAATTATTAAAATATTTTGACATATATTTATACTATCACTCATATAAATGCGGTCTGATTTTTGCGTGGTTTTATATTACCTTAGGAATCTGAGGTATGATTCTATAACTGAATGAGACTTTGGACATGATAATCTTTATGCAGTCTCGCGGCCAGATCCATTATTTGCGCTATTCATCAAATTCAGTATGCATTCGTAGAGAATGTCTGATATTCCATTTTGAGAAACACATTAATTTTCAAAAAGGTTTCAAATGTGTAACTCATTTCATAATTTTAGTAAATCTTTGTCAAGAGAGAAAGTGATTTCATGACAGTTTTATAGAATAATGTTACGTAAATAAATACATTTTGAATCTGTGTTCTGATATTTGTTTGTTTATTATTGGGCTTAACGCCATTTTTCAGCACACGATAGGCTATTCATGGCGGCCAGTATTAATGGTGGAGGAAGAAACCGAGAAATCACCGGAAAAAAAAACCCACCGACCCAAGAGAAGCTACTGGCAAGCTTTTTCACATATCCACATTCGCCGAATCCTAGACTCGAACCCACGCAGACAGAGGTGAGATGGCAGTGATCTGTAACGGACAGCGCTTTAGACCACTCGGCCACTCGGGGCCCCTGTTCTGATGTTACGTATATTGATTATAGGACCATAACTGGGTTATAATCCTAAACTGAAGGAAGCGTATACAATCAGGGATGTGTCTAACTTCGGCAATCCAATAAACTAGGAATGGGTAGAACTTAATGTTTGAGGTAACCGAAAAATTGTGTTCATCAACATAAAAATTACTTTCGCCTGAAAAAAATGCATGTTATAATTCCGCTACAAGTTCTATTGTTCTGTATTCTTTAGAAAAGAATACCAAACCTGCAAAGAAAGTTAAGACAATGCTTCAGCTAAAAAATGTAATTTCCAAAACAAGGAATCGGTTTCAGTGACAGAACTTGATGAATCTGTCCTTGATCTAAACAAAAATAAATTCCGATATCCATACGAAAGTGTGTATTTCAAGATAAATCTAGGTTTTATAATTAAGTAATCAATTAAGTAATCAATTAAGTAAGAAAGAAGAAACTGAATAATTTATTATATATTAAGACTTCAATTAAGGGAGAGAAGAAAATTGTCTTTAAACCTTTGCCAACTAAATGATAGATATACGTATCCATGTAAGATTAATTAAGACAACGACGTTCAAAGAGAATTTTCATTATCTGAGAAGTATTGTTTGTTCTATTTATGAGCAGCGACACTGTTCGTTTTCTTACGACCAGTAGAAAGTGTAGCAAATTGAAGCCGGGTTATGATTAGATTTCAGCGAAGATAATGAAAACAAGTTCTTGAATTAGATGCTTATTTATAATGTAATTAAAAATGAATGAATCTAACATCAATGGATTAATAGAGGATCCCCGCGGAGTTAAACAACCGATATCCAGATATAATATCGTTCCTAACTGGGACTAATCGGAACATGCAACTTAAATGAGTAGGCTAATCAAACAAGAATGAAAATATGGGACTTATGAACGCACATGGTTGATATATGTATAGATGCTCATGGATGAACAATGTTCAGAAAGTAAACACAAATAAGAACAATGTTACATCTATCA